GTGGGAGCAATGGTGATGAAAGTGAAGATATTCAAATGCTCTAGCCACACTTGAAAAAAGAATGGGTAACCTCTATGCTTAAAAGCTTTTTGATTTTGCCTGATTGGTTTCTCATTTAGTTAGGCATGCATGAGTTTTGATCTTAAATGATTATGTTTTCTATCTCATGTATGTTAAAAATATGTTATGATGAACATTGTAAAGTTTTAATGATTTTTCATAACTTTAGTTCATCATAATGAATTTTGGTCAAAATTTGTTTTAAATGCAAATGATATCTCTCTAACAATTGATATCATTTTTTCAAATGCTTTGATTTTACAAATTTTAATTTTTGACCTTAATTTAAATGTTTATGCATGTGGTTTAAAATGAAAATGATATATCTCTAACAATTGATATCAAAATTTTCAAATGCATAAAATATTTTGATATCTTTATGCATATGCACTTAATTTCAACAATTAATATTGCATAAAGTTTATTAGACTTGGATATATTGAGTTTCATGTGCTACTAACATGTTTGTTATTCTTTGTTGAAATTCAATTTCTTTTAATTGTCAAACTTTTAAAGTCAAATTTTTGTTTGGAATGTACTTTTTGAGGGGAGCTTTTGATTTTTTTTAATGATTTTCTGATAAAATTTACCACTTACTCTCCAATGTTACTTTTGAACTTTAAAGTTGATTATTTTTTATATAACAAAAAGGGGGAGAAATACGAGTTTGAAAATTCAATTTTTCAATGAAAAAGGGGAGTTGAACATTTTCCAATAGTTGATATTTTTTTCATTAAATATTTTATTAAGGGGGAGTTTTGCTAAAAATAATTTTCAAATGTTTTGTTATATCAAAAAGGGAGAGATTGTTGAACTATATTTTGATATAACAAATTAAGGCAAAACGTTTTTGGACTTGAATTGAATTTATTGAAAGTTTTTAAAAATAATTCAAAGTCCATTAAAAGTGAATTTGAGCACAAAATAATTTTTCATGTACAAGAAGTACCAATATTGTTCTTACAGTATCAATACTATATGAATAGTATCGATATTGTTCATGTGGTACTGATACCCAAGGTAAGAGAAGTATCGATACTCTTAATGTAATATCGATACTACCAGCATTGCTCAAATTCCAGAATGCAAAAATGGTACTGATACCCAAAGGGGTACTGATACTTTTTTACATAGTAGTATCGATACCATAGGCTTAGTATCGATACCGTCAGGCCCAACAACTAGAAACAACTAGTTTTATTTAAATATTACAAAGTTAGTACCAATACTCCCTATAGGAGTACTGATAGCCTATGTACTGGCCAATTTTATTTTGCAGAGAAAACATCCCCAAACGGCTAGAAATCATCTCTAACTTCATTCCAACATATAAATACAAGTTGAGGACACTTGAAGAAGGGTTAGAACACCTATCCAAGTAATCAAACACAAGAGAATATTTTTTCATTCTTATTTTACTTTCTGTTATAAATATTTTGTTCTTGTGAGCTTTATTTTGTAAATACCGTACCTTTAAGAGGTTTTATTTGTTTACATTTTCCTTCCTTTGTAAAGGGGATTGATTCTAGTTTAGTCAAGTGAAAAACTAGGGAGTTGTAAAGGTTACTCTTGATCCTTGAAAAAGAAAGAACAAATTAGTGGATTTATTAGAAAATCTTTAGTGAGGAGCTAAGGTAGTGGAGGTAGACTTAGTTGAGAAGTCGAACCACTATAAATCGTTGTGCAAAACTTTCTACCCTTTCTTTCTCCTTACTCCCTAAACTGTTTTTGCCAATTCACCCCTCTTGCAACTTTTTCGGTTGTTCAATTGAGCCTCTTCGATCCTAACATATATATATATATTAAAAAGTTTAAAGCTTTTTAAAAGTCAATATTTATTTAATTTAAGTTCTATATTAATGTTTAAATATAATCTATTAATAAATTTATTAAGTGATTGAAGAAAAAATACATCATACTTGTCCAACTCATGTTCCTAAGGTTAATTATTATTTGTATTCTTTTCCCCCCATAAAATTCATATAATTCTCTCTTTGAATATTTATTTTTCTAATTTGATTCATTATTGAATCCTTTCAATGTCACATATAATAAAATCATACATTTATCGGACATGAATAACACAATTGAACTTAAAAAAAATATGTTTTTAAATTCATCAAGTGATAAAAGAAAATGTTATTTTTTTGCAAAGATTATAGATTTGAACTTAAAATATTCAATTAATTACGGAAATCTTTGAATATATATTATTATTAAAAAATATATATTCCGTATGAAAGTCTTTGTCTATATAATATTAAAATAAGTGTCCAAACTACAACATTTCTCATAAATATGTGCCTAAATTACTTTTACAAACGTTATCATTTTAGGTGTCTGGGTCGTCAACGACATTAATTTCCTCCATTAAGTGACACATGTCATAATCTCGTAATTTTAAAAGTTTAATTAAAATTTAAAATTATATTTAAAAAACAAAGAAATTTTGAAATAACCTAAAAACATTGAAAGCCTTCATTTCAACCCTTAAATCCACATCGGACGTCGTACTTTTTCCGTTGATGAAACTCTACCCGACCTCACCTCCACCTGATGACGAAAACCCCTATGAAATCGTGATCAATTGACGATCGATCGAAAGCGAATCGACATTTTATACATGCAAACCCTAAGTTGAAAATCACAATTTTGACTTAACTTTTAAATTTAAATATTTATAAGTTGAATTTATTTATATGTATTAATTAATAAATAATTTAAATATAACTTAACTTAAAATTTAAAATATATATAAAAGATTAATTTACTTGATATTGAAAATTTTAAATTTAATCATCAATTTAAAACTAACAAACAAACAAACAATATATATATATATATATATATTCACATGAGTGGTGAGAGAATTTTTTAAAAGAAAGATTGTTTTTTTTAGGAAAAATTGATTGTTTAGAAATTTATAAGAGGGAATTGTCAAATTTTGACAAAATGAATTTTTTTGGACAAAATTTAGAAGAGTAAAAAATTGATTTTTTGAGAATTTAGAAGAGAGAAGAGGGAAAATTTGATTTTTTTTTTTTTGGAATTTAGAAAAGGGAAGAGGGAAATTTTATTTATTGACAAATGTCAACTTTTTTAATTCCCAATAGATTTTTTGGGTTAATTAGAAATGCAGTCCTCTAACAATCAGTGATTTTCTATTTTACAATTTAATTTTTAATTTCTTTTATTTTAGTCATGATCTAATTATAAATCTTTTCTTAAAATTTTCAATTCAATGTAATTTAGTACTGTATACATTCTAATTACTTTTAATTTTCCCTTCTTTCTTTAATGTGCACAATTATTAAATGTGAATATTAATTTTAGAATATTTTATTTTAGTCACTTATGTTTATTGGTATATATATATATATACTTATATATTATACTTTATACTTATATATATTTATATACATACCTATATATAGATACTTTTTTATATGCGTGTGTATATATATAGATATAGATATAAGTATACATACATATATATATATATATATATATATATATATATATATATATATATATACTTACAAGTATAATGTATAGTATATATTATATATTTATAAGTATACTTATAAAGTATGCATAACATATATATATATATATATATATTAAAATTGATTTAATTTTTCCTCAACTTTTAAAATAAATGCAATTCAATTCATTTTTATATTAATTTCAGTTTCTTATTTTACAATTGTTTTTGGATTTGGTCCCTACATATTGTGTAATTTATTTAAATTTAAATTTGTAATTTCATATTTGTTCAATTTAGTCCTTAAAACTATATTTCTATATGAAATCGACCCATACTTATTTATATTTTTGTAATTTATTTCAATCTAGTCATTAAAATTATATTTTATATGAAATTGACCCATACTTATTTATATTTCGATTTGATGCCTCATACATTCGTGTTGTTTAATTATTTAAATTTTTGTATGTAATTTCTTGTTTGTTCAATTTAGTCCTTAAAATTATATTTTTATTAAAATTGACTAGTATTTATTTATATTTTTTGTAATTTACTCCAAATCATATACAATTAAAAATTACAATTCCTCGGTCATGAAAGACGAAAAATAATTAACATGAAAATAACCCAACCTAAAGTCAATTTGTACCGGCAAGATCCGACCTGAATTTTGTAAGTCAATGATGTGACCCAATCTGAACGATATTTGACCATAATTCCATCCGAACCTTAATTAACTTGGAATTTAACTAATTTGGATCTGAACTGTTTTGACCTGAACTGACATCAATCAGAACTGAAATTAACTCGATCCAAATCCGAACTGAATCTGATGGTAAAATCAACCTGAAAATTACCTGAATTTATTTGACCTAACCCGACCTGATCCGAGTCAAATCATCAAATTGACCTGATACAATTTGTATCTGATTTGACCTGACCTAATAGGATCCGACTAAAATCTGAATGATTATCTAATTTTACATCCTAATCGTATGTGTCGTCGTATGGTGCCTGAGATATAGTGTCAGTTTACAGTGTTCATAGCAATTGACTTTCCTGATGAAATGAAACGATGATGATGATGATGATGATGATTCTCAATTATGTCCATTCCCCTTCTACACTCAATCCCGCCTTCCTTTACCCCATATATCACCCTTCCGCTGCCAATGAAACCACTTAAATAAGACGGTTTTAATATGACGTATATACATACATATGAAATACATTACAAATTAAAAAGGTTATTTTATAAGAAATTTAGATAATATCTAATATAGTTTAATTATTCAATAAATCAAATACTGATGATTAAATAAAAAAATTACTTGGTTTGAAGGGTAAAATTGATGAGTTATAGGCTTATAATTCATAGATATGTCCAAAAGTAATTGGGCTACTAAAGATAATTCTGGGTTAGATCATAGCAGCAATCCATTTTTGTTTTTGTTTCTTTAGCCCAAAATCAATATGTTTGTTAGGTCAGATTGGCAGCCGACGAAACAAAGCTCAAGCTTCTCTCTTTTTTCAGCTGCAGCCATGGTGCTTCCTCTCTCTTTTGTTTGATTTCATTCATCTTTTCAGCTTATTTAGGATCTGTTTTTCTGTTCCAGAAATTACTTGTGAAACTATTTTTCTTAAAAAAAAAAACTTTGATATGCTTATATTGAAGAAATCAGCTTTAAGTGCGTAGATTTTGCTCAGAAATCTGAAACTAGACTTGAATTGATGATATTAGCGGCTGGTTTCCCTAAAAATATCGTTTATATAGTATGTGATGAGATTGCAATGTAAGGGTTAATGCTTTTGTTCTTGGCACTACTGTTTGTTAATTGCTGTCGATAAAGTGTTTGATGAAATGATTGTTATAAATCCGTTGCTTTCGTATTCCTCTTAGACTATCTGTGTCTTTGTTCTTGGAAGGTGAACGTGCCTAAGACCAAGAAGACTTACTGCAAGAGCAAGGAGTGCAGGAAGCACACTCTGCACAAGGTCACACAGTATAAGAAGGGTAAGGATAGTTTGGCAGCACAAGGGAAGCGTCGTTACGATCGCAAACAATCCGGTTACGGTGGCCAAACCAAACCAGTGTTCCACAAGAAGGTAATTCTTTAACTCGTCTTTTGTCCCATAGGTGGCTATTCAATGAAAATGTCAAGAACCTTATACAGTTATGCTTTGCCTGTATATTTCATGTTTAGTTCTATACATTTTCAATTGTTGCTTACGACTCCACAGAGCTGTGTATCTGTGTGTGTATATATACATATGAAATGCTCTGCCTGTATATTTCATGTTTAGCTCTATACATTTCTTTTTTGATAGGAAGTTAAGGCCTCGTTAAAAACCCCCTTTATGATTAATGGAAAAACCAATTGGTGTTCCTTAATCAGCGGAAGGAGGAAAAGAGTGTCTCATAATTCATTAATAAGTAAAAGATTACATAATGTTTAAAACAAAGAAGCCCCTTACAAAAACAACCCGAAACACACCAAAGAACACATCTTTCACTCTATTAAACAATATCCCAACCCAACAAACAATAACTACCCAATACCAGCCTTAGCTAAACTATCAGCTTCTATGTTTGCCGTTCTGTCAACCCATCTGATAGCTCCTTCCAAAACTCTTATCATGGCAACAATATCTTTGACTAGATGAAAGAAAACACCAGGACAACTATCTAAATTCTTAACCCAATCCATAACAAGTTTGCTATCAGATTCAACAATCCACCGATTCTTAAACCTCTGAAGAATATGCTCAAAGATAAGTACAACCCTCTTGATGGTAACAAGCTCCAGCAAAGTTGGAGGGCCTGGATCTGCAGATTCTTTAAAAGAACCCATAATCTTACCAGCCTCATCTCTTAGTAAACCACCCACACCGCTCTTTCGCCAATCATTGCAAACTGCTGCATCTACATTCAGTTTTAGAAAACCCTTTGGAGGAGGAATCCAACACACAATTTTAGTAGCTGAATTTCTGGAAGAAGAACAGAAATCTACAATAGATGGATCACTTATCAGGGAGTCTTTAGTAATAGTAACCTCGTTGAACTTAGCTAAGAACCAAGAAGCAAGCCCTAGCCTAGCCATGAAAAATAACTCAATGTGATCCAAAGACCTTCCTTCAAACACCACGGCATACCTAAATTTCCAAATGGTCCAAAGCACTACCTCCGGAATTAAGGACCAAATAGAAGAAGAAAACATCATGTCATTCCAAGCAAGTAAAAATCCTTGTGCATTTCCATGAAGGACTGAACTAATATTCCAAAAATTCAAAAACTTATTCCATAGGAGCCATGCCACCGTACAAGAGAAAAATAGATGAGGAATAGATTTAATCTCTCCTTTACACAACGGACAAGAAACATCAACAATCCCCGAAACCCCTCTTTTTTGAAGTTCAAACTTAACTGCCAATTTCTGATGGGCTACTTGCCACATAAAAGTTTCTATTTTAGGAGGCACCAACCCCTTCCAAATACATTTCTCCCAGAAACTATCTTTTACCGATTCAACAAAACAAGTCTTCATACAAGAATTAACAGTAAAAATACCTTCCCCATTCCCTCTCCAAAGCAGACCATCTCTCGAGTCTTGGGATAGGCTGAAATTATGAATGATGGCTAGAAAATTAGAAAACTGTTCTAACTCCCAATCACATAGGTTTCTTCCCAATTGGACATACCAAGACCACCCCGATGAATTAAACTCACCAAATTCCTTAATTATCCCAAACTGATTCAATGAAAGAGCTTATATCCTCGGGAAAACAGTCTTCAAAGGATTAACAAGAGCCCAAATATCTACCCAGAACCTGATTCTCTCCCCATTACCCACTTTGACTTGGAACATGCTACGAATCTTGGCACCAAACTCATCCTCTTTAAAATGATTATTAACCACCGATTTCGAAATCCAAGAAGCATTTGTAGGATATATTTTAGAGAAAGAAATCAGATTAGTGTCCTGATTATATTTGGAACTTATCAACCTCTTCCAAATTGATTCACTGTCATTAGCAAACTTCCAAAACCATTTTTCTAATAAGGACCTATTCATAAAATTAAGATTCGGCACACCCAAACCACCACAATTTCTTGATTTACACACTGTTATCCAGTTGACCCAGTGTATTTTCTTAGATTCTGCCCCTCCTCCCCACAAAAAATTGGCCATGATGGATTGCAACTTAGTATTCACTGCTGCTGGAATTTTAAACATAGACAAATAATATGTAGGCAAAGAACATAATACTGATTTCAATAAAACCAGTCTCCCTGCCAAAGAAAGAGTTCTTGCCTTCCAACCCGAAAGTTTCTTGAAGAATTTCAGCACAACCGGATCCCACAGAGCTGAAGAGTTCCTTTTTGCTCGAAGCGGCAGCCCTAAATAATCAGAAGGGAAAGTACTAACTGCGCACCCAAGATCCCCCGCCCACTCCTTAACCTCTTCATCGGTAATATTAAAGCCAAATAACTCACTTTTGCTTAGATTAAGCTGTAGACCGGACATAATTTCAAAAACCCTTAGAACTCTCTTAACATTTAAAATATCCGTCTTAGAGGCATTACAAAAAATAATAAGATCGTCTGCAAATTGCAAATGGGATAGCATGTAAGAACCTTCTTCTTTGCCGACAACCAAACCATTAAACAACCCCGAAGATACCGCCTTGAGAAGCAATTGATTAAGTAGCTCTCCTACAAAATTAAACAATAATGGGGAAAGTGAACAACCCTGTCTAAGACCTCTTGACATTGAAAATTCCTTTGTAGGAACACCATTAACCAACATTGAAACTGATGCTGTGGTCACACACTTTCTTATCCAGCTGTACCATTTTATGCCAAAACCCATTTTGTCCATGACTTTGAAAAGAACATCCCAATCCACTGTATCATAAGCCTTCCGGAAATCTACCTTAAACACACAACCCTTCAAGCCTTTCTTTCTCCCAAAATCTATTCATTCATTAGCTATAAAAGAACAATCCAAGATTTGTCGACCAGGAGTAAAAGCAAATTGTGAAACACTAATGACATCGTTCATGCAACATCTCAACCTTCTTGATAGACATTTCGAAAGGATCTTATACAATCCACATACTAAACTAATAGGTCTGAAATCATCTAAGCCCCCAATGTTTGAACCCATAGGGATGAGGGTTATGAAGGTGTGATTAATGCCATGCTCCAAATTTTTTCCCAAGTAAAAATTATGAAAAAATTTCAGAATATCAAATTTCAATGTGGACCAAAGCCTTTTGAAAAATCCCATGTTAAACCCATCCAGCCCTGGTGCTTTGTTGCTATCACGTGAATTCAAGGCCTCCCAAACTTCTTCTTCCGTAAACCTCTTCTCTAAGCTTGTACTCTACTCTAAAGTTATTCTCAAAAAATTCAGCTTGATATCTTCCACTTCCAGGGTAGACTTGAAATTAAAAGTTTCAACAAAATGATCACGGACACTTGTCTTGATGAGAGTCGGGTCATAAATGATTTCATCTTTCACTTTGAGAGCATTTAAAGAATTCAACTTCCTCCTAATTGAAGCACAAGTATGGAAAAATTTTGTATTTCGATCACCTTCTTTTATCAATTTCACTCTTGAATTTTGAATCCAGACTTGCTCCTCAATCCTGTATAACTTCCACAATTATGATCTTAAAGACCGCAATTCTTCAACATTGTCTGTACCCCTTACTACCTGCTGTGACTGAGAATTCTGCTCTAATTGGTGAATCTTCCCTTCTAAAGCAGAAATGGTTGAAGTTGGAAACTGATCTCTCCTTCCAGACCAACTTTTAATAGCTGATTTTGAACTTCTAATGAAGCTCAGAATACCTGCTTTTCTATTAACTTTCTTACAATCTTTAATAGCTATAACAACCTGCTCATCAAACCCATCCTCATTCATCAAATAGTTGAACAACCTGAAAGGTTTTTTACCCCAATTATCACCCCCTGTCTGAAGCAATATTACATTACGGTCAGAAATAGATCTCGGAAGTAGGAGTTGGGTGATATCCGAGAATGCAGATGAAAAATTAATACTCAGCAGAAACCTATCCAATCTGACAACAGTAGGATCTTCCCAATTGTTACCCCAAGTAAATCTTCCCCCCGTCAATGGAAAATCAATTAAGCCCGAATGATGAACAAATTGCCTAAAAATCTCCATCGAATTTCTGTTTTGTGCTCTTCCATCCTTCTCATCTTCTGTTAAATAAGCATTAAAATCCCCTCCTACACAAAAAGGAATATTAATACCATTAAAAAACGAGCTGAACTCTTCAAAAAAACTGCTTTTTCTTCCTCCACCGAAGGTCCGTATACATTAATAAACCCGCTGAACTTCCCTAAAATAGCAATAAATCTCCTATGAATCTGCCTATCTTCTACCTCAAAAACATTGTCATCCCAACAACCAAGTAATCCCCCTAAAGAACCTTATGCTGGCGATTCAACATACCCTTGAAGATTGTTCAGTCCACTTCTTCTCAAAAAAGACCTTGGACATGCCTCCAATTTTGTTTCTTGCAAAAAGAGAAAGGATGGCTTCTTCTCGGAAACTATCTTTTGAACAGCTCGTTGCTTTTATTTTTCCTCAAACCCTTGACATTCCATGACAATATTACTATCTTTGTTTTCATGGTAATATGCTAATACCAATCTCCTCCCCATCTTGACAACCTATTCAACTGACCCCACTCAAACCTTCCTCTAATTTCATGATTTTATCCAAGAAAGCTTCCTTCCCTTCCTTAAATGATATACCCAACATCTTGCTAATTTCCCAAGTTGCAAGAGCTTCTTTTAAAATCGAAGTAAAAGCAGTGGATGAAACAGTGGAGACACTAACCTTTTCTAAGGCATCCTTAATAAAAAATATTTGAATTCTCTTTTTAGATCTTGAAATCCCCACATCTTCACAATTCTCTTCTGAGTTTTCATCATCCTCTGGAAATTCAGATTGTGCATATCTTAAAATAACAGCATTTTCATTCTGTTTGATTGAACCAGCCTCTTTTTGAGATAAGAAATCCTGCTCACTACTTCGCCAAATGTTCCTCACCCGAGATCTTTTATAAACTCTCTTATAACTTCTTATCATCCTTCTTCCCACCGGAGCACTTTTCATAGAAATATTCTCTGCTGGACGATTCTGAAAAACACCCCCCACAGTTAACAAATTATTACCTTCTGCAGACCTCACATTAGCTGAATTCAATGATGTAAAATTAGAACCACCCTCCACTATTATTTTACTAGATTGAATCCCCTTATTTACTGCTTCCTTCGGATTGCTTGGATGAATGAAACACTGATTATTTAATGGAAACTGAAGTCCAGATATGAGAACTGCTGGACCTTTAGGAATTAACTTCTTTATTGGGGAAATGGGCTCACTACTATCATCTGTTTGGGCCTGAGAATTACCATTTGAATTATTCAAATTCCTTAAACCCAAACCTGCAAACTCTCCCTTTTTAAAACTCCCAATACTGTGCAAATTTGACATCCCTTCATTAATTCTTATCCCATCCCTGCTTCTTCTAGGAAACTGATATCCTCTGTCAAATTCAACAAAAGCGGAAGTAGTTCCTTGCTCCATCCAGCTATCAACTCTCTTACGTGCTTCCTCAACCAACCGAACAGTACCTGTCTTATCAGTTGACTTTAAGCTGTCAACTTTCATCTCCGACGACTCTGATGCAGTTTCACCTTCATCGGAAAAATTTTCCGGCATGGAACTGGAGAAAAAACCAGAATATATAGAAGTCGAACCCAACTTAATTTTCACCTTGTAGGATCTTCCATACGAACCTAAATTGATAACTTCCGGAACATCAAAAGGGCTTGCCACTCTAATCAGAATTTTCACAGCCGAGAGATCCTCCATGTTTTTTGTCGAGTTCTGAATACCATCTACGATCCCCCACCTCCCCGCTAAGTTTTCTAAAAAATCTTCTTGCCAACATAGTAATGGAACACCATAGAGCTCCACCAAACAAAAAGCCATTGGCATACCTCCTTCATTCAACAGAAGTTCCAGTCTATCAAACCAGAAGCATAACAGCTCACTCCTTTTCATCCAAGCCTCTTTCATCTCCTCGTCTGACTTAAATATAATGACACAAGATTTCCAAATGTGACCCCAGCTTGCAATCTGGACTTCGAAACCTTCTTTGGCTAAAGCGCTTTGCACAAACTCCAGACCAAACTTTTGTTTAACAATGCCCGTGAATGATCTTTTTACCCAGGATGATTGATCAGAAGGAATATGCATCTCCCAAATATTCTTCTTTCCTTTCCCCCTATCTGAAGCATCATTTTTATTCTCTAAATCTTTCAAAGCTCTTCTCTGCGGGATGTTCACCAACAAAGCATCCTTATAAGACCTACCATCCCTTATGCTTCTTGTGTGCTGAGCTCTCTCAGTTAAATTGGTATTTCCTTCTGTTATCTTCTTTGAAGCACTAGCTAGAACCTTATCTGACCCTCCATACCTTGAACGATCTTTCTTATATTTTGCAACTCCAACAAATATTTTTCTCCCATCTAACCATATCCCATTTAAATTTTCAACTGCATTCCACATTCCTACTTCATTACCAAACTAAACAAAGGCAAACAAGTAGGATTTATACTTTGGTTTGTTCGTCTCATTTGGAATAAAAACTCTAACCACATGACCTTGAGAAAGAAATAAATCTCTTAACTCTCTTCTAGAGACTCTCTTGCTAAGATTATCAACGAAAACCGTCCAACTCTCACCGGAAGAGGATTGACCTTTCTCTCTTTCTCTCCCTACTTGACTGACTCTCTCTCTCATATTTTTTGGTTTGACAAAGCTCCTAGCTCTATACATTTTTAATTGTTGATTCCGACTCCACCAAGCTATGTATCTCTGTGTGTGTATATGTGAGTGTGTGTGTCACCTTTGACCAGGCAAAGACCACCAAGAAGATTGTGCTGAGGCTACAATGCCAGGGTTGCAAGCATGTTTCGCAGCATTCAATCAAGGTCGGTTTGTTGTACACCCTTTGCCTATCTGTTTGTGCTCTCCTTTACCGGTGTTTGATGCGATAATATTCAGTTTGTTTGTTATCTGTTTTTGCAGAGGTGCAAGCACTTTGAGATTGGTGGAGACAAGAAAGGGAAAGGAACATCTCTGTTCTAGATGTTTTATTCATGGTATTATGTTATCCTCCCGGTTTACTTTTACTCGAGTTGTTCGAACTTATAAGGCCGGAATGGAACTTTGTTAAGTTTGCGTCTAGTTCTTCGAACAATGTTGGAACAATGTTGCTTTGCAGTGTTTTTAACTGTTGGAGAATTTTAAAGCTTGGATTCTTCTTTTTTAGGTTTGTTTCATTCGATCCAAAATGAGATTTTACAGCAAATTTTGCGACCAGTCCCGCAAAACTAATTCATGAACAAAAAGAACTTGCTCCTGCCTATAATTCAAAAGAGAACTAGAACTTGCTCCTGCTCATTATATTTAAATTGTGGCTGCGTTATCGCTGTTGTGGACGTTATGATGATGTGATTTGTCTCTTAAAAGTAATTATTGTTTTAAATTGCGAATGTGGTGTCTTGATAATTTAAAAAATGGTTACGATACAACTGTTGTGGTCCTAATTTAGTATTATGTTCCTACCTTGAGATTTAGCATGCAGTTCATTTCTTTCTTGCCGAGGAATGAATATACATAAGAGAAGAGATTTTCCCATACTATGTTGAATCACCCAACTATCTTTTGCCAACATTTAAGTGTACGTTTGATTCTACTGTTGTTTGGGAATGTTTCTCCAAATGAGTTTTTTCAATAAATTTTTACATTATAAAAACATTTTTTTTTCAGTTTCTTAGTTTGAGGTAATAATTAATTTTCAAACGTAGATTTTTAACTAAAAATGAGTTGTTTGACAATATTTTACGTTTCAAAAGAAATTTTAACTAAAAGTAGTTCGAATACTGAAATGAAAACCCTATCGTGGTTCCAAATCCAATACTAAAATACAAAACTTACTGCCACCTCAAATTTATTCAGTCCAGAAAAGAGTATAATTTAATTTATTATTATTTTAATCCTTAATATAACACTATTTAGATCTAGTTATGCATCTAATATATTGATAAATAAATAATTAGAGTTATTAAAATGAAATTAAAAAAGTAGAAAGTTCAACATTAAAATGTTACTTTTTCCCAAACAAAAAGACACTTTATTATCCATAAAATTAAGATCCGTTCAGTTAGACGAATAATGAACAGTTCCCAATCATTCAATTAGAATTCTTATTCATTTAGGTACGGACCAGGTGGTCCCAACGTTGTGGTAACTACAGAGGTATTAAACTCCTCAGCCATACCATGAAGCTATGGGAAAGGGTGATAGAGGCTAGGTTGAGACAAGTTACTAGGGTTTCGGAAAACCAATTTGGCTTTATGTCAGGCAGGTCTACCACGGAGGCGATTCATCTACTTCGACGGCTTATGGAGAAATATAGGGAAAAGTCTAGAGATCTTCACATGGCGTTCATTGACCTTGAGAAGGCTTATGATAGTGTTCCCCGCGATACGATCTGGAAGACTTTGGAAACGAGACGGATCCCAACTGCTTATATCCGGGCGATTCGTGATATGTACTGTAGATCTACTACTTACGTCAGGACTACAGTTGGCGACACCGAGGCATTCCCGGTGGAAATCGGACTCCACCAGGGGTCGGCTCTTAGCCCTTACCTCTTCGCCTTGATTATGGACGACATCTATTGTGCGACACCAGACGGTGTACCATGGTGTATGCTTTTCGCTGACGACATTGTCTTAGTTGCTGAAACAAAATCTGAGTTGAATAGTAGACTGGCTACCTGGAAGACTGCTTTGGAAGAAAAAGGTTTAAGGATCAATATTGAAAAGACAGAGTATTTATGTTCAAACTTCAATGGGAACCAAAATGATGAAGATGTAGAAGTATGCATAGAAGAACACGTTCTCCCCTCAAAGGATTGTTTCAAGTACCTAGGGTCTATGATACATAAAGATGGGGGTGTAGATGATGACGTTACACACCGTATAAAGGCGGGATGGCTAAAGTGGAGGGCCGCTACTGGAGTTCTGTGTGACAAGAAGGTCCCTCTAAAACTTAAGGGAAAATTTTATAGAATGGCAATAAGACCAGCGCTGTTGTATGGATCAGAATGTTGGGCAACCAAGAAGGATCACGTAAGGAGGATTGAGGCCGCAGAAATGAGAATGCTTCGATGGACATGTGGTAGGACTCTGAGGGATATGACGACAAACTCTGCTATTAGGATGTCCTTGGGGGTGGTGTCTGTTTCTGAAAAATTGAGGGAGGGAAGACTACGGTGGTTTGGGCATGTCCTTAGGCGACTACCGTCGGATGCGGTCAGGAGGGTAGAGTCGATTACAGTCGACGGTGCCAGAAGGAAAGGACGACCAAGGCGAAAGTGGGAAGACTGCTTGAGATCTGATTTGAGGGATTTAGCCCTTACCGAAGACATGACCTCTGATAGGAAAATATGGAGGCTAAAGACTAGGGTAGTCGAGTAGTGTGGGTCACATCTATAGGGTGTATCATCTCTGTCTTCTTTTAATGTTTTTGTAGTATTTTCCATGACTTATACTTTTTATACGTTTCTGTTATTGGTATTTATGAAGGATTAGAACTGGGCTTGCTAACGTTGACTTCTGTGTATCATTCTCTTCATGTTTCCTCTTTTAAATTTAGCCGGATCTTATGTTTCTGTCTATATGCAGAGATTCTTTCGCAGGGATTATTATGCAGGGATTAATTCCCGTTACAGACGCACATATGGTTTTAATGACTGCATATGAATACTGTTTAGATATGTATTTATGTATTTATTTATACATGCATTGCATTTTATCTAAATTTTTAATTTTTCTGACTGCCGGAGGTCTTCCACGGAAGCTACTCTCAACCTGGCGTTGGGGGTAGCCTACTACCCTACCTCCCTCTTACCCCATACATATGGGAATTGGGTTTTGTTGTTGTTGTTGTTGTTAGAAAAACCAAAAACAAAATGCATGGGCATTAATATTCATAAATTATTATCAAATTCTTATTCTAATTTAAGATTAGAAAATGATTGGTCTGTACAGTAATTATTTAATTTATTAAAATAATACAAAATAATCATTCAAATTTTATAAACTACTAGTGTAATTTCAAAAAAAAGGAAAAACTAAAATATATTACACAAAGTACATACGCATACGTGCACATAGAAATTCAAAATGAAGTAGGAGAAAATAAGTGAAGGTATCATTGGACTTGATTGTTTTTCCTTTCTTTCTTATTTTGTCCATTTCTTGTATCTGTATAATAAACTACTGGAAGAACACTAACAATGGCTATGGCGGCCACTCAGTCAAAATTTGGTAATGCAGGCGAGGGAAGGGTAGTTTTTAATCAAGCGCCGCTTTGTTTTTACGAGCGGATATAGGCTTTGGCAATCCATCAAATATAGGGTTTGCGATGTTTACAGTTGAAAGTGCTTGTAAGTCGGGCTTCAAGTTCCATTTGGTTGTTGCCCAGAGGGATGACAAGCTACCATTGTCTTGATCTTGCAAACTCGATGTGCTCGATGACTTCCTCACTGTGACAAATCCGTCGACCACGTAACCATCTCCGAGACCTGTTGGTATAGTGTTGCTCCCGAATACCTCGGTGTCGGCTCCTGAACTAGTGCGGCTTCCTGCTTTGGATCTCTGTGCCAAGCCTTTCGCTGCTATCGTCGAAAATCCTCCACTACTGTTATTATCCTCTTTCAACAGCTTCTCTGGGGTATGGGCAGTGAAGTCGGCCTCGGATTTCTGCCGTCTTCTTATTAGTTTGTCATTTGATTTATCAGGGTCACTGTCTTTAGCTTCACCAGCGGAAAGGATATCAGGTGTGATTTGGCCGTTCTCGACATAAAATCCATTGGTCACGCTTCTACACTTGCGTTGAAGCCTGAAAGGTGGATTGGCATCAGAGGAGAGTTTGAGTGATGGACCATCCTCAAGATAATGAGATTCTCCTTTCCCGTATACAGCCATCTCAAAGCCTTCGAATGGCACACTTTTTTCCGAGGGTTTAAGGCCATAGTAACCTTGTAACATCGCTGGGGAGACCCTTCGAGGAGGAGTCTTCAGTCTTAATGACTGGAATGATTCACGCAAACCAGGAGGTAAATCTGGACCTGAGTTTTGGTTTGCACTGCTTTCTCTGCAAAGAGTTGTCAGACAAAGTGAGCATAACTAAAAAACAAAAAATGCCGAATACGAGCCACAGAGATCACAAATACTTGAACAACTCATTGAAACAATGATTATCAATTTCTTAGAGAACCGCCTTCTCTGGTATACATGTCTAGTATGACCTAGAGTGTCAAGCCTAAAACCTTAATACAATCACAATCATGTTTATACGGTGACAAAGGAAGATTCCAAGTAAGAATTTATCATCTTGATCAAGAGAGAATAATTTTCACTTAGCAGCTCATTGCTACCTATGCCATAATTATTACGGCATCACATAAAAGGTCTAAATAGTAAATCCTACTGCAGAGACTTGGGAAAAAACGAATGCCTGTTTGATGCAATTTACCACTCCTAATAAGGAAACCTTTCTATGGGCAGAGAACCATTCGGCACCGAACCACTTAAAACTCGGTCCGAGGTCAACTCTTGGGAAGCCTCACACAAATGTTTCCTCGCCAAGAATACATCAAGACCCGCAGTTTCTTTAAGACCAAAATACAAAGATATTGTTAAGAAGATATACCATAAAGCACGACTTACAGGCCGCAAACAAACCCATATTTCCTCTAGATTTGAATTTCTTGAAAAACTCTTCCAAATTGAACTATTAAGTTATGCAGCTTAACATGCACAAGTGCCAATAAGGATGTGTATAGCAACCATCTTTAATGCGGAAGTGAAGAGAGTTTAAAGTCAAATTCACAATCGAATGAAGAAAATAGCATTGGCATTAAAGAAGATAAAATACCCTGGTGTTTCGGAACCATTCGACAAGCAAGGCGATGGCAGATGCCGCCCAGGTAAAGGGATCTGAAGCGTCTTAAGAGCAAACATTTGAAGATCAGTTACCAGACCATTCATCTTTTTTATGTCAGCTACCTGATTATTCCAAAACCATAACAATTTATCAATAAACCATAATCAGTAACAATAAAATAATTAGATACAACTTCTAGGTTAACACTGATCAATTTCCCCGATTAACTTCCCAAAATTATACAATCAGGTCCATTTATACTGAGAAAAAAATAACACTGAATAATTAATACAAGGATGAATAGAGTTAATCAGTTACCTCAACGCCGTACTTGATGGCAAGGCCGGCAAGAGTATCGAACCGGGAAATTGGATGCTCGATGAAACCGGCACCGGGTAAAGAGGAAGAGGGTAAAGTTCGAACCTTTTCGTTCTCAGAAACACTGTAATCATTGCAAAATCCAGTATATTTCCCATTCGAATGACAACTGTAGTTCCCATTAGCAATGCTATTCCGCCTCTCCCTTTCCATCTGCATAACCAACCCCCTAAAAAGTCCCCAATTTATTTACCCTAATTTCTTGAATCTCCCACTATCCGAACTCCGATTCTCCTTCCTTTTTTTCCGAATAAATCGAAAACCAACCGCCCTTGAGTATCAAAAAAGAGAGAATCCAAACGATTTTCCCCAACCAAACCGAATCTAAATGGAATCGAAAGCAACTAAAAAGGGGAAAATATTGGGTTTTTCTCAATAAAGGAAATACAGATCTAAAGAGAAATACGTAGTAAGAAGTTAAACAAATGGGTTGAAACTTGAAAGATCAAAAGATCCCGGGTTTTCAGTATTTCCAGGCAAAGGAGAAAGATTTAAGCTTAAATGAATTGTTCTTATTGGCTGGCGTAATACGTGTTACTCTGCCAATGCTCCCACCTTAACCCAGCCTACCCCCTTCGTCGGTCGGCACTAGATTCCATATTTTGGGTAAAGTACCCAAATGGTCTGTAAATTATGTCAAATTAATCCCTTTGGCCACTTCAGTTTTGAAAGTTATAAAATAATAATTAAATTTATTGAACCATTACAAAATAATCATGTATATTATTAAATAATGATAAATTTTAAAAAGTTATAAGACTATTTTTTGTTATTTCAATAATTTTTAATGATATTATACTACATTGATTTGATCAAATTGAATGGTTTTTAAACTTGTAAACAATAAATTGTCCAAATAATGTAATTTAGATCCATTTTTGATTAATCAATTTTTATTATTCAGCTTTAATTACATTATCATATTTCTTTTTAAAAAAATTCATATAAAATATATCAGACAGAAAATACATGTTTCAACCAATAAAAGATCTAGAATTAATCAAATTATAATAGATGGAGTAATTATGTTAAAAGCACAAAATGCAACGATCTTTTATGCAATATGACATATATTGTACTTTCTCATTGACTTCATCAAGCAAATGCCCCCTACCAAGTAGGAAATGGTCTCATCGATGGACAAAATAAACAAAGCAAGGGATCATAGGTGGGTTGTTGAAAGCTTAACAAAATGAAACACGATTTTAAGTAAAGCCTAAAATAACGTATAAATTAAAGAACCAGTTGGCTTTCTTTAGTCGGACCAAGGACTAAATGCACCCATGGCCATGGCAACGTGTAAGGTTTGAAATTTGCATATTCTAAAAGATATGTACTCGACATAAATAAAAGATGAGACCGTAGCCATTACATTAAGCTTCTTTTAGACGAACATCAGGAGACCCAGAAGTATCCTTAAGAAGTAAACTAATTAGAGCTGCTAGGGATTAAAGAAAATAACAAGGAAACCATCCGTGTGAATCGAGTTTCGCCATAAGATCAACAACCATTTTAGCTTCTCGACGGACAAGGGTAAAGTCCACGAACCACGCTTTAGCTAGAATAGTTGAGATGGCTCTATCCAAAGTATTAGGGCTCGTGAGAGACGGAGTAGTAAGGAGACGATAGACGTCAACATTATCCACTTGACATTTAGTCTTTCATAGACTTGACTCCAAGTAAAGTTGAGGCCTTCATGCACACCCTAAAGCTCTGCCTATAAAACATTGGTTTTGCCAATATTCTTGTTGAAAGATGCAAGAAAGTTCCCATCATGACCTCGGATTACTCCGTCAATCTATTTGAATCCAGTCATGGAAGAAACTGCTCCATCCGAATTGAGACAAACACAACGAGGAAGGGGAGGCTGCCATTGAATCATCTCCAAGACTGGTGAATAGAAGAATTATAAAAAGCGATTGAATTGTAAATTGTTACCCAATAAGAGCTTACGCCTAGTAAGGAAGAATAGTCCAAGAAGTCATCCCGAAAGATGACTCCATGGCGTCGTTTCCAGCACTGCCAAATGAGCACATCGAAAAGAAGGTTCCAGGGTCCCTCGGTCAGGGGGCAATAAATGGCAGTAGATAGCCCCAAAAGAAGCCACTCACGTAACGGCAAGCTGTAAAAGGTAGAACCAATGTTTGCAGGAACAATTGATCTCCAAATAAAAGAAACATCCCGATAGCCACGCAAGATATGCATGAGAGATTCCTCGTTTGCGCCACAAGCATCATATGCAGTAAAGTCAGAGAGGTGACGGGAGAATCGGACCGAGTTTGTGAGCAACATGTTCTACACAGCAAGCCAAAGAAAGCTACGAACTTGTCCAGGAACTTTCAGATTCCATATAACCTTCCAACAGTCATTCTAATGCTCTTTGGAATTTTGGATATACACACTCTAAACTGAGAATAAGCGGCTTGAGTGAGTGTTCCAAAAACAAGAATCAGTGTCAAGGTGAGTATTCGGAGGAACCATGTTTTGAATAGAAATTACTGAAGGTTGAAGACGAAGTTTAAGTTTGGGCCAATCCCAAACACCATTTAGTAAAACATAGTCTTGCACCTTACTAGAGAAATCAATACTAGCCAATGAGTGTTTGTAATCTGAGAGAATTTCAAGCTCTGGGATCAAAAAATCAACCCAAGAACGCGTGGTAGTTCCATCCCCGATCACCCACGCAAGATTTTTATGATAACCATGTCAAATTTTTGCTAGAGATCGTCAAAAGATACAACAGTTAAAACGAGCGATAGAAACAAGAAAATAATCACTGATCTTGTATTTTTCACTCAAGAGACATATCCAAAAAGCATCCGAAGAATGAACAATGGTATCACAGGTCTTCATCAAGAAGGCTTGATTGCAGGACTTAGTATTCCGAATACCAAGGCCCCCATGGCTAATAGGTTGACAAAGTGATGCAGGGGATCCGAGACAGATGATGCTGAGCTGTTAGATTGTACCTTGATGGCGTTGAGATACCATGAGTTGGTAGATCAGCGCAAAAGCGGGAGTTGATTGTGATATATTCTTCATTGGGACCGTTTTGAGAGCGTTCAGTCTTTTGGCCATAACTTTGGCTAAGGGTGTCGGAATCGCACATAAGACCCCAATTCAGAAAGCTCCTCGCGGTCCGCATAGAGCTTGGCTCCATGTGCCTATTTTTTCGGCCTCAAATTCTGTTGTTTGTTTTCCCCTCCGAATCACTAGTTTTATTTATTTTTTACTATTTTTGGTAATATTTCGCTTATTAGTTAAGAAGTCATTTTAAATCCGATTTGGGCTGGATTTTTTGTAGATTGCTTATTTTATTTCGAATTTCAATTTAGAGTGATTTCCAAGATTTTTCTATTTTTGGCTATAACAGTCTGGCTTGTGAACTGATTTTCGGCATTGTTTGATTTTATAATATTCCGTTAAACCTTAGAGACATTTTTTTCTCTGGTTTTGGACGAATTTTCTCCTGTGAATCATCTGTTGGAACTAGCCTGCAGGACAATCGCTATCATGTCCGGCGTCACAAAGAGATTTCCAATTGACGAGGGGCATAGACTTAGAATTAGCGTTCGACCCTCAAATAAATCGACAAACAATTTTTTCGATCTTCATGATTAGAGAAGAAGGAAGTTGATTCGTTTGCATCAAATAAAATGGAAAGCTAAGCAAAAAGGATTTTTTCAATGTAATCCTGCTCGTGAAAGAAAGAGTTTTAGCCGACCAACCATTTAATTTGGAGTGGATTTTATCGAGGATGAAATTGAACCTCTCATGAGAGGCATCAGAGTGTCTAACAAGGGTGCCCAAATATTTTCCAAGATCAGTAACAACCCGAAAACCAAGACAATTGGAAATGCAATGTTGTATACCGAGATCAATGTTGGGAGAGAAGAAAATTGTCGTCTTCTGCTTATTAACTTGATTCCCTGAAGCAATCCCAAAATGCTCTAAGATACTCTCAATATTTTTGGCATTGGCAAGGTCCGCCTTTGCATACATAATTAAGTCATCTGCAAAGAACAAATGAGAAATAGATGAACCATGATGAGCGAGATGAAAAGACGACCAATCTCCATTACTAACAGAGTGAAGAATTCCATGACCAAGACACTTTATGGTTAAAATCAAGAGATAAGAGAGAGATGGTCACCTTTTCGGAATCCATGACTCAAAGAACCATTCCATTAAACATTCATTGTGGAAGAATGGATGCAATTTGAAATGATGCGAGTAATATTCAGGGGAAAGCCAATATCCGACAAAGTGTCCATAATGAAGGATCAATACAGACGATCAAAAGCTTTTGCAAACCAACCTTTATAGCCATTCAACCAGTATTCCCCATTTGGATTTCATCGAGTGGATAATCTCTTGAATGATAATGACATTTTCTAAAATGATCATGCCTTTAATGAAGCTAGTTTAGGTAAAACCAATCAAAGACGACATCAACGGTTAAAGGCGTCTTACGACAATCTTGGTGACAAGATTGTAGATAACTGAGCAGAGACTGATTGATCGAAAATCCATAAAAGTTTCAAAGGTCTTAGTTTTTGGAATAAAAATAAAAACAGTTTTATTGAAGTCTGGATCAAATTCTTCACTATTAAATAATCTCTGAATCATCTCGCAAACAAAAGACTTAACAACATCCTAATTTTTTTGTTGATAAAATTGCACGTGAAGTCCACCAATTCCAGGAGGCTTTAGAGGAGCCATAGAAGAAATAGATTCTTTAATCTCATCTGAAGACGAAATGTGGTCGTGTTCAGACAAGGATGTCGAAGGAAGAGAAGAAAAACAATGCCAAAGATGATAATGTTGGAAAAGTCAAAAAGGGAGGCAAGGGAAGCCACTAAAGTGATGCATTTATTGCACCGAATTCAAGCTGATTTTGTTGATTTTTTTAAAATGGGATAATTACACTTTAGTCCTTGCACTTTAGAGTATTTTTAAAATTAGTCCTTAAACTTCAACTATAAATACCCTTACCCATTTAGCTTCAAAATCATCCTAAATCATTTCTTTCTCCAATTACTAAAGAGTTTAGAGAGTTTTCTTGTGAGTTGTGAATATTTTGTAAACACCTGTAAATTTTCTCTCTTTAGTAAAAGATCTGCAGCAGTCTGGAGACGTAAGCATAATTGGCCGAATTTCGTTAAAAATTTTGGGTATTATTTTTCCGCTTTTATTTCGCATTCTCACTAATTTGATTATAGGGAAATTACTCGTTTATTTCCCAACAATTGGTATCAAGAGCTTTTGATGGTGAATTTTTTCAATTTTTATAACATCCTCAATACCGGGTTAATGACCAAAGTGTGAAATTTTACAATTCAATGACCAGATTAAATAAATTGAAAAGTGAAGGATTTAATTAAAAGATGTTGGTGTAGGATGAATTAATAAGTGAAGGAGAAGTAAAAGGGTAAAAGAGTCTTTAAGCAAATAAAAGAATAAAATAATAATTAGAGGGTATTATAATACC